AGATTTGATGTGGTCCTTTAGACTAATTCGTTGCATCCATCGAAGCATTTTCATGTCGGTTCGTTGAAGTTGTTGTTCCAGTTTGGTTGTCATTGGCCATGTTTCTGCACCATATAACGACACCGGACGTATCACAGATTTATAAAGTCTTGATCGTAGTGGTAGTGGGATGTCACGCCGCATCAATATAGAGGCAAGGAGATGCCATTTATTCCAGGCTGCACGTATGCGTGCTCGAACGGCAGCTTCAGCTGTTCCAGTACAATCCAGAACATCCCCTAGATATTGAAACGATGTGACTTTCTCTATTTTAATGGCTTCAAAAACAGTGCTATTTCGAATTTGTTGTTGTGGATTGATGCAAGCAGGACAAACAAAATTTGACACTTTAGATAAAGTACCAATTATTTTTGAACAACGTTTGTGACACCACTGGTTACACTGCTGACACTTGATTGAATTGTTACCTACACCAGCTTTACAAACTGAACAGGGCCATCGTCCAGTAGCTGTGGATTGGATGGGTTCACCAGTGTTCATTGCTTTGGTTTTGCTGATGTTGACTTTGAATCCATGATCGGCGAGTCTGGTGTTCCAATTTTCAAACATCTGTGCTGCATTCTGCTCAGACGTGGCTGTTAAAACGATATCATCAGCATATACTAGATTCCAAATGTCACCAACGCGTATCGGTTTTGTGATTTCTTCCATCACAGTTATAAATAACAGTGGACTGAGAATCGAGCCTTGGTGAACTCCAACGCCGATGTCAAATGCAGCTGTGTTTCCAACCGTTGTGCTGACAAAAGTCTTAGTATTCGTATACATTTCCATCACAAGTCGAACAAGATATTCTGGAATGAATTGTTGACGTAGACTCCATCTGATTGCTTCACGGGGAACTCGATCAAATGCTTTTTCAAGGTCTATAAAAATGTGTGATAGTTGTTGATGCTTTGTGAGGTACTTCTCTTGCAGTTGCCGAAGGATGTGAATTGCATCAATTGTTGATTTTCCCGCTAGAAAACCAAATTGATAATTTCCGATTGTGATGCACGACGTTTATCTTCTCTCAATGATTTTTTCGACAATTTTCAGGGAGTGTTCTAACAGACGTATACCCCGATATGATGAACAGTTCAATGGATCGCCTTTGCCTTTGTGTAGCGGGACTGTCATGCTATAGTTCCATTCAGTCGGCATTGAGCAATTTCTCCAGATTTCACGGCAAAGTTGTAGTAACGTTTGGATACCTGCAGTACCAGATGCTTTGATAATATCATTTGTGAGTCCCGAGGGCCCTGCTGCCTTTCCATCCTTCATAGCTTTCAGAGCTTCTGTAAGTTCCTCTAAAGTCCTGTCTGGAATCGGACCTTCGATGGGTGGAGCGTCAAAGTTAACATTGATGGGATTTGTTTCGTTTAACAGACGGTTGAAGTATTCTCTCCACTGTAGCTTGATCTCATCTTGTTCAAGAACCATCTCATTTTTGTCGTTTTTGATACTCAAGGCACCAACTATGTTTTTTTTTGTACGCTTTGCTTGTTTTGCAGAGATTGGTGGTCTAACTAATTTCAAATTCATAATATTTAATTCCTTTAAGATTAAACTCTGCTCTCTGGTCTATTGACTCTTCTGGTGATATTTGTACTCATTAAGCTAATAAAATGCATTAATTAATTAATTAATTAATTAATTACTACGTTATTATCGTGTTGACTATTTTAATTCATAATTTTTTTCTTCAAAGGAAGTGAAAAGGATATCACAAAACGTATCAAGCAACAATCCTCTGAGGAAATATGTGGACATCATGGTTGCCAAAGTAAATGATCCTTCATCTTCCCTATCTGACATCTTTATCTTTATCTTTATCTGATCTTTCAGATATTATTTTTATCTATGTTAAACAATGTTTAATAATGTTTAACAAAATGATAGCTACATTTTTAGATATTATTTTTGTTTAGGTTTCATTAGAGCTCTTTTTTTAATAAACTCAATTCATCAATTGAATTGTTCTTTTAGAATTTTACCTTATCTTAAAGTTTCTTAATGAGCGTTCAAGGTTTTTTTTTAATTTTTTTTTATTCAGAGAGTTAAAAATATTGAAAATTTGATAAATAATCCAACTTATAAAGACCTACCGGCTATAAAAATAGTTAACCTTTTAAGAGTTGAGTAATTTTCTATATCTTTCAACTTATAATTTAACATCTTTCATTTTCTTTCATCATTTTGCAACATCAACATTGAAAAACTTTTTATTGCATAATTGCTTAATTGGTTAATTGATTAATTAATTAATTAATATCCTCTTTATTTTAGTGTCCTCCTAATTTCGGGATCAGTGTATCTGGATCGGGCGGCCGAGCGTCATTATCATCACCGGGGAGGTCACATTTTGACAGGCAGGACGAGAGCCACATCACTGAAAAGAATCTCGCTAAACTTCACAGGAGATTAATCGTGGCCAAGTAAGTTCTCAATCTTCGCATACGTTATGTTAATTAGGAAATCGTTTGCATACATTATGTTAATTAGGAAAACGTTTGCGTAATTAGGAATGTTATTTTTGTAATTATTTTTCGTTTAATTATTGTTATTTAATTTTAATATTTATTTTATTGTTTCGTTCATTTTATTTTAAAAATTTATATAAGAAAGGGAATTATGAAATGGGTAGTGCTTTTGTTTCTAATGCATGTTGTAGACTTTTTTAACATTTTCTCTAACTATATAGATCAAGTTTCATTGAAAAAACTATTGGGGTGTATCAAATTTTAGTTTAATTTTTTTTTATTGGAGTGTATCAAATTTTAGTCGAATTTTTTCAAAGTTTGGTGTATGTTTATTTGTTAATGAATCCATAATTTTTTCTCTTTTTCATTTTCATTTTCAAAGTTTTATTCATAATCAACAACATATCAAATAAGTGAATAAAAGTTATGAAGTTGAATATGCGGAGACCGAATAAGACTGTTTGTCTTGTGGTGGCCACCGCAATTCATTCATTGTTTAATTCATTGCATCAGCACTTCTGTTTGTTTTTTCTTCTGTTGGATGCGATATATATCCATAAAATTATGCACCCATGCACCAATTACGATATAATATCTATTTTTAGTAACCCCAAACACTAACCACCTTAACTTACGTTCATGACAGGCAGCGTCAAAGTAGCACTGCATGTCAGTGGCGCAAGTTGGTTGCTACGGCAATTGAACTGGAGGATGTTGACGAGAACAAGAAGTCGAGTTTGCATGTGTTTGAGAGGTCGCCTGCCATGGGTCCATACTCTGGAATGTTCTCGTTCTGTTTTAATGCTAAAATTGGTCAGTTGTGATGTTGTTGTCGTTTGAGTGAGTATTGCCGTTGTTGCTGTTGTTGTTGTCGTTGCTGTTATTGTTGTTGTTGGTTGAATGAGTATTGTTGTTGTTTTTATTGTTGTTGTTGATTGAATGAGTATTGTTATTGCTGTTGTTGTTGTTAACCTTGTGATTGTTGCTGTCCAGCCATTATTTTGAATGACATAGCATATGGTACACGGCGGTTGCCATGTCACTAGTTAGCATTACCTCTCAGCTATGATAATTAATTACATACACTCTATTTATTAAGGATGCTAATTATACCAACAATTCTGATAATGTTTTAACTACTTCCGTAATTAATAATTGATGGTTCTGATTAGTCTTAATGACGAGGAAATTGTGGTGGTGTTGATTGTGTTGAATGCATTAACTGTTGCATAATAATTGTATAGTAATAAGTATTATATTAGCACGCAACACGTTTACCAAATCGCCCACACTGAAATCTACATTTTGTAATTTAACTATGTACCCATTAATTACCTCTTAGAATGGTATTGGAAGTGCAAAATTCGACCAATCTTACTGAAGATCGCCGCTATACTGATGGCCGTAATGTCCTTCATGGTCGTCTGGTCTGAATGTTTGTTCTTTGTTAAGTCTCCTGTTTTATCTTTGTTTGCTCAGTTCGTTGACCTGGCCGAGAGGAGTTACGGATATCATGCCATTGAGGTGATGAAGATGAGCGTGACGATGATGAGGATGTTGTTGTTGTTACTGTTGCTGCTGCTGTTGTTGATGTAATGATCTTTGTGATGATCTTACCTGATGTAATGATCTTACTTGATTGTGTGTGTGAGTAAGGATAAGTGAATAAGAAAAGAAAAGTTTAATGTAGGTAGAAACGCGATTGATTTTTTTCGCCCTATTTATTTACTTATCTTATCCACTGATAATTTTTATATTTCAATTATTAATTAATTAATTAATTAATATGATTTAATAATAACAAATTATGTTAAATACACTTTTTTCAATTTTAATTAATGATTAAATATAATGTAATAATAAATTATAATATCTTTACCTCTCTCTCCCTTTCTTTCTCTCTCTCTCTCTTTCCCTCCCTTCCAGTTTGTATGCATCCTGACGATATCCTACCTGAGCATCTGCACGTACTACACCATCTTCAAGATGAGAATCTTCAACTACTACTACATTGTTGGGCCGCACGAGACTGATGAAAATAGCATGATATTTTGTGGCATGTCAGTCTCACGTTTTGTTTTACCTATTGTTTTACAATTCATTTACAATTTCTTTACAATTTTACAATTTCGCCTATTTTCTTTGATTTTTTTTTTTTGTTTTACAGTTTCTTACTATTCTTAATTGGTAACCACGTAACGTTTTTTTAGTAACGTTAATAATAATTTACTAAGTTTAACTGAGCTGAATTCTTATTTTTAAACTACTTGTTCATTTTTCTCTTTTTTTCTTCTCTTCCTTTTTCTATCTCTCACTTTTGTTCTTCCTCGTTTTCTCTTTTTCTCTCTTTTTCTGTCTATCACCTTTTTTTATTATTATCTCTTCCTTGTTTTCTCTCTCTCTCTCCCTCTCTCTCTCCCTCTCTCATTTCTTGATTAAATTTCAACTGAACTTGCACCAACCAGGTTATTGTGTCGTCTGACTCCACCTCTCTGCTTGAACTTCCTTGGCCTCATACACCTGGATAGCCACATCACAAAGGAAAATATGGTAGAAACTGCATACACAAGGGTTTGTATTGTTTCTTTATTTTGTAAGTTCGTATTGAAACATTTCTACCCTGTTCTGTGTGTATCTTATGATTTGGTTGATGTAATTGTTTTTTACTCTTGGCATGGATTCAGCTTATTTTTTTAACATTTTTTTTAGTCCATGTTATGTATGATTGATTTGTTTGCATTTGATAATATTTAAACATCTCGTAGCTATACGAAAATATGTTTTCATCATCATAATTTACATTCATCATTCATCGTCACATTCTTAATCACTATCTGTAACGTCATCGACAACAACTTTAATCGCAACATTACGACAACAACACTACCACATGATTGATTGATATGTATGTATATATAATATATATATATATATATATACATGCACGTAGTTCATGGGCAACTTGGATGTACTGCCCTTCATATCTGATGGATTCAACATCTACTTCCCCATAGCCATCGTGGCCCTCTGCTTACTCACCATCCTCTCGGTCGGAACTAGGTTGCTACATTGTTTAGGTTGGTTGGTTGGTTTTATGTGTTCTTTGTTGGTGTGTGTGGATGTGCGTGTGTGTGCGTGTATGTGTGTGTGCGTGTGCGTGCGTGCACGCTACTTTATCTTATCTCATATTCAGTTAATGGCTTCCTTTTTTAATGTTTATTATTTAATGTTATTAACTTCACTAATGAATGCTCATTAATGCACGAACCTACCTTGCATGCATGCATTGCATTGAATGCATTGAATGCATGCAGGCTTCCAGCAGTTCATTGGCGATGATGATATGACTCAGGAGATGATTGATGAAGGTGTCGAGTTAATTAAGAGGGGTTTGTTTAATTAATTAATTAATTGATTTGTCAGTTGATTGTTCAGTTGTTTGATTGTAAGGTTGGTTGATTTAATGACTGGTTGTTTGTTTTTGTTACATTCAAATAAGTTTTTGCTTATGTATTGACTAGTTTTTTAAAAACTTTGTTAAAAATTGTTTACACGTAACGTTAAAAATTGATCAATTACGTAGAGAGGAGGAAGTACACAAGGCAAGAAGATGTGGAATCAAGAAGGAGAACGTGGAACGAACGAGTGAACGAAAGGGATAACAGCACTATCAATCGTAGGACTGGTTTGTTCCATTCAATCTACTCTAACTTCTTGGTCTTCTAATTTTTACTCGTTGGCATATTTCTTTACAATACAGAGGGAACTCTTTGACAGTCACAGGCCTGTTTACGTTGATTGGTCCTAATTATTAAGATCTTATATGGTTTCAATTAATGTTTAATTATCGTAAAAATCAGCAAAAATATTTGTAGGTACAGCACACAATACACGCAAACACGCATACTTAGAAAGTTCCTGGTAAACAACATTGGAATTCAACCATCGCAGCACCACTTGCTCATAACATAGCACACGATATAACACACTTCTACTGCCTGAGATCATTCACCCAACGAGTTTTCATACTTATTTAGTTACTGAAAAACAGCAGGTGGTTAATGAAATAGATAGCAATACATAATTAACCTAACAGCTCCGCGAACCGGGACAGATCGTTCAGAGTTACTAAACGAGGCCGAGCCAATGGGTTACCGCAGTTACGACGACAACACCATCTTCAATTCCGACATCAATCGCCCATCCCAGCGAACCTCAACATTTGATCCTCAACCGACCTCTGCTGCTGCTGCTGCTCCGGTTCCGATATCCGGATCGTATCAAAGGCCGCACAGGAATAATATTTTGGATCCAGGGCCCAGTTACGGCAGCAAAACTTTTGTTAGGCCCAGTACTGGCCCCCCGAGGAATATATTTGATGATGTTTGAATTTGATGGCGTTTGAGTTTGATGATGTTTCGATGGTTGTCCAACATCATCATTATCATTTTATGAACGAATGTGCACGTGCATGGCATGGATTACAATAAGTTGTTGAGACCTGTTTCCATTGAGTTAACTAAATGTTCATTTAATTAATTGGTTTTGATACATGACAACATTCTCTCGTGATTCAACTCCCATCTTTATTATATTCAGTAAATGCAAATCTCAAATGTTATTATTTTCATTTGTTAACTGTTATTATTATGTTTATTAATATTTTTTAAATTATTCAGCGGCTGTTTTATTTTTCAATTAGGTAATTCCTCATCTCGGTCCTTCCTTCCTAAGATCAGTCATGAACAAGCAAAATGCATATACTCATTCATAAACGTACACACACGTACACAAACATTTACGAATGTTCACGTGAGAGTGCAAGTGAACAATCGAACAAAACGATATTCAATCCTTTAAACTTCTCCGTAACATTTAACTTTAACTTGATTTTATGCGAAACGTTACTGCAAACTTAATTTATGTATTGTAACGTAATTTGAAAACATCATTTCTCACCTAGCATCAAAATTTCTCCTCCTTTTCAACTTATCTATCATCTAGTTCTTTTTTTATGTTTTTACATGGTAAGTGAAATGGCTGGAGCGTGGATTTGCTAAATTGAATTAATTCGTTTGTATATATGTGTGTATCTACATTCTTTAAGTATTGTAAATAATTTTATTTTTCATTTTAGCTTGCATTTTTAATATGTTCATCAACTAACGTCATTAATTGTAATTAAATTAATTAAATTTAAATTAGCCAACAGGATGTACGTATATCATTGTCGTTATTAATAATAATCACTTCTTTCTATGATATCAGCAGCTGTTCCATATTTTACTGATCACCTTCAGCAACGTATTATCTATCTATCTATCGATTTGATTAATCATCATCATTAATATGTGTGTGTATGTCAGCTTAGTATTACGACAATTACTGTTACAAGCTTTCCTGTTTGTAAAACAGTGTGTAAGTAAATGTACATCTGTAAACTGTTTTGAAGAAAAATTTTATTAAATAAAAATATTATCTGTCGTGACTAATTCGATGGAGTTAACGAATGGTTCACTTGGAAATTAAACCCTTCATTCCATTAATAAAACGGTACATAATAATAGCGTCACTTGTCTGTTGTTTGTTCATATTTGGCTTAACGTCGAGGTGCCCGGATAAACAAATGTCAGCATGGCTAACAAAGGACTGTTCAAACAAATGCCGCTTCGAAGGTTTTTCGAAAAATTCATTGATGTTTGTTGACAAATGCCAGGTCGTGAGCTGTTCCACACTGGCGGGGAAGAGCATTGAAAACCTCGGTTTACAAGGGCTGATTTGTTGACTGGTTGATGTAATGGATGTGATGACTACAAATGAAGATGATTAACATTTGAGTGATGGCGACAATTGAGTTGATGGTTGAGATGTTTAATGGTGGTGGAGATGTTTAATGGTGGTTGAGATGTGGAATGGGATGACAGCAGATTTGTAGCTGCGCTGTGCAGTTGAGTGAAAGATGAAGTAGAGGATGAGCGATGTGACTGCAGCAGGCCTACAGGGATATGCTGGTGAATGTGGTGTAGTACAGAAATAAATCTTGTGCATATGTTTCACAATACGGCCGGTTTTTATCTCAACGTAAACACTCGTCAATGTTTATGTATGTTCGAAGTTAACACCCTGCTTGAATGAAACATAAATTAGACTGCTTAAGTTTTATATTGAACAATTTTTTTAAATTAAATAAATTAATAAAAAAACTGTAAACATAAATAAAACAATTACTACCGTCAATGAATAAACGTGCGTACAAATAATGACACGTCAATGATTAAACATTAAAATTAAAGTTAAAAACCTACCCAGCATGTTATCTAACATTACTTGTACGTGAATATCGACACGAGCTGTTACGCTTACGATTTTCAGAAGCTTAACCACCTCTCATTTTCTAAACCAATTTAATTTTCAAATTAAAGCTAAAAATTGAATGGCTTACGGCGCTTTCTAAATTTGGCACAACTTGTGTGTGCATGTACTCTACCTACGTGCGAAATAAGACATGCCGTTGGAACAGGTGATTGTAGTTGGTTGGAATCATGCCATCGCGTCACTCCGCCTTTTATTTTTTTCACTATCCGAAGCAGCCTATAACTTATCCAACTGATCAAATTTTTCTTACGATGCTACTTTTACTGTTTTTAGAGACAAAAGCTGCTAGCTTAAAACTAAAATTTAGAAATAATTAAGTCCGCTGCTTAGCATTATGTTACTGTCATAATGGTTGTCGTTGCTACGTTGGCTTGGGCGTTGTAAATATTTAACGGAACAAACGAAAGAGACAAGTACTGAGATAAATCTGTCTGTATATTTCTGCAAAACATCAAAGATATCAATTTGGTCGACAAAGAAAAACATAAAATTTTAACCAAGTGGTACTGTTCTGAAGTAGAAATAAGATAAGATATTTACTCACTAACATACTATAACATTCGATGAAATGAAAATTTGGCAAAAGATGAAATTCGCGCTGATTCATTATATCATCACAAACGTTCTTTAATTACAAATACTATCTCCTGTTTGCTCTTTCAGCATGACCATACATCGCCGGCATTTACAAAACTTTATAATTCAGTCAATCGATCGATACAGTTTTGAGATCCAAAGCAATATAATAATATGCACCACATCACGTCACAGAGCAATGAAACATAATACAAGATTACAATAACCACGCATATGCTCGATCACGCACCTGTCAACGTAGTTTGAAATCGTGATCTAGGCGTGTGATGTGAGTGTGTGTTATACTTAGGTGTGTGTTTGTATGTATGCGTATATATAAGTTGTATGCGTATGACGAATTTGTATGTAGAGTCAGGATGCAATGAACATGACTAACAATTGGTTGCATTATCTTTAGGCGCCTATGTGTTGTGTGTTCGTACTTACGCATGCGTATACAGCCCATACATTTATTGTCAAACACGCAATGAGCGTGTTATTTATACAGAGAAAAAATGTTTCTAAAAAAATATTTCAAAACATTTTGAATGTGTAAAAAACAATATAAACGATAAAAATGTTATGTATCTAAAATAATGATATTGCTAGACACAAACTAATTCAATTTATCAACATAAAATACTATGTTATACGCATCTAATTGTCGGCATTTTAAGAAAAACCATTAATTTTTTTCTCTAGAACTTTTAAAGAAAAGTGATTATATAATCCAAACACGAGGGCAAAGTGTGTAATTTTACAGTAAAATACTTGAAGATACAGGACAGGCGCAACATAAAAACATGACAAATTTTTTTGAACAAATTTAATACACGAAGATTACGATACAAAACGAACAAGCTACAAAAAAAAATATGAATACTTGAACAGAAAATTTAAAAAACATTCTGAAACGAAAATGAAACAAGTTTAAAAAATGAGGAAAAAATATTTTCATTCACTGGAAAATAAACTGACAGCCCTGCTTTCAAACTCGAGTAGTTGTCCGAGGAAATTGATGTTGGGTGATATGATGGACCTCCTCTTCTTCACCTCATTGAATGCTTGCATGTACGACCACGAGAACTTGGCCATCAAGTAGGCCATGGTGATTGTGGGTGACCTGGAGACGCCGGCCTGACAGTGGATCAGGACACGGCCGTTCGACTGACGGGCTGATTCTGGTTTGATGGAATTTTTAAATATAATTTATTTTGGAGAAAAATAACACACAACTGAGTTTAATTCAATGAGTAATTTTAACAGAAGATAAATACAATGACAACATATAAGCAGATGAATAACAAAACATGTAGCCCAACTAACTAACCAATAAATTTAATGGCTTCGTCGAAATACTGTTTGATGTTTTGAGATCCACTGTCAGATGCAGGCAGCCTTCTGCCAGAAATGTCACGGGCAGCATCACAGTACATGGGAATTCCCGAAGTTACGTTGAGTACATGCGTGATGTTGTTGAGTCGTAGTCGATCTATGTCGGACGCATCTTTTTCGTTTCCTTATGGACAAAAAATTTAAAACTTTTAAAGAAATCTAAGACAAAGTGAGAGATGAAGATGCACAATCCCGAAAACTAATACGCACACATTCTCAACGTCAACCATTCATTAATTGTATAAATTGAATAAATTAACAAAGAAATTATGATGGTGGTAAATTTTTTCAAAAACCATCTCAAAAATGACTTTCCTTCCTACCTACCTAAATAAAGATATGGCAAAATTTCAGTCATGATTGCTGTGTCAATGGCGGTGTCGATGTAAGGGGAGGTAGGACTGAAGAGCAATGGTTGAAGCTCATTGGTCAACGGATCACTGCAGTGATTTGATTGGCTGGCAAGAAATTCTTTCATTCCACCTGGTTGTTTGGTAAACAAAAGTTAATACAATTAATTTAAAACATTTGAAAATGTTAGATGTGCATCTATAACAGTCTAAAAATGTTATTATTAGCAAAAATATCTATTGAAAAATAAGTAACCATTCAATATATGTGGCAAACCACTAACTAATCAAACAAATGATTGGAATTTTCAAAAAGATGAAAAATGAGGTAACCTTTCAAATACTTGACTCTCTTGTTTAGTGATAGTAGCTTGTCGTAGATGATCTTCATAGAACTACAAGCATTTAGGTGGTCAACTTCAACTGTGTCGTCGTCATATAGAACAAACAAACAATCGGCTTTAGAGAACATTTCTTTAAATTTAAATTTATCTTCAGAACCAGAAACTAAATCTATCAATCCAATTCTGTTGTCTTTGAACCTCTTCTTGATTGTGTTGTTTGTACATGACACATTTACCGCTCCCATTATGTGATTGGAATTGAATTTCATAAAACTTCGACAGTCAAGTAACAAAAAATCGACTGAACTAGCATTGAGAATTTTAACCAGTTGTTTCGGTGATATGTACAATAAGTCATTGAGCGACTCTTTGCCATTGTCAATGTTGGAACTTTCTTGATTTGTTTGGTCTTCGATATCCCTATCCGTTTTGCATGAGATGTTTGTTAAATCCAGATTAAAATCATTTTTTTTTGTTGAATATGAATGTTTGTTATTAACATTTTGTGATGTTGAATCATCTTTAAAATGTTGTGTTACTAGAGCAGGTTGAGAATCATTGGTCATCACAATCGATGGTGACTTAGCTAATGTCTCACCATCAACGTTCTCTCCACATTTAAGATTTCTCTTCAGTGAAGTTTTTTGGAACGACAACCTCAAATGATTAGATTTGAAAGCATTTCCAATTGTTAATAGATTGTGATTGTCAGTTGATGATAGCAACGATGACATGGAAGAAGATGACGTCATGGAGTTGGATGGATATGACAAACAACTACCATTGAGAATAATTTTTGACTCAAACTCCCTGTGAATTGTAGAAACAGTAGCTGCTGCCATGTCTTCTTCTTTCTTTTTATTCTTTAGCAACGCAATCAACCTTGTTAAGTTTGCTACTTGCAACACAAAAAAATATGTAACTAAAAGTTTTAGGAAGAGAGTTAACTGAATCAAAGAGTTCACCAGTTGTAGTTGCTTTTGTTCGTCTTGGTTGTGTAGTTGCTGGCTGATTTGCTCGCTGATTTGCTGTTGTTGGTGGTAGGTGAATTGACGTTTCCGAGATGGTTCTTGTGGTGTTAGTTTGTTTTTGAATAGATGTTCTGCTAATTTGTGGCTGTCAACACAAGTTGAATACATCAGATGATATTTATTATTTTGTATTTATTTTGAAATTAATTCTGACTTCAATATTACTTTTAATTTCATGGAATAGAACGAAGTCACGTCAGGTGGAAAAAATGAAGGTTGGAGTTTTTGGTCTGCTGAACTCCAAGCAAGAATAATTTGAAAAATGAATTGCAATTTAATTTATTGTATTTTTTAGAAATGAAACAATTTATTAGAAGAACAAAAAGCTTCTAATAAATAAAACTTGATTTAATTAATTAACTAAATAATTAAATAATTAATTATCAGAATAATAAAAACAAAAAATGTTAATGTAAAATTAACTAAATTTTATTTACACTTCTCAACAAAATACTTGAGAAATAGAAAATACAGCAGTGCTCGAACACGTTGAAAATAACATTAGCTATATATATTCTAGTGTTAAGATACAAATAGAAGATGAGGTAATGGGCTATAAATAGAACAGCAACAACTAGCGCTGTAGCTGATGCATATTTATGAGCATCTTATTATGAAGCTTTGCTTGCAATTAAAGTTATTCATTATTATTATTGTTATTATTATTATTGTTATTGTTATTATTATTATTATTATTATTATAGTTGTTGTGGCTGTTATTGTTATTATTATTAAACCTTATAAAGTTGTTATTTTTGTGATTATTTCAGCTGCTCTTGTCATGTTTATTATTATGTATGTCTCTTTCGCCCTTTCTCTCTCTCTCTCTCTCTGCATATAAAATATATGATGTGCATATAATGATGTTTACAATAATATATGTAAAGATATATGTCTATACTTATGAGTGTGTCTTTATGTAACTTAAGATTTTTTTTCGACACACACACACGCACACACACGCACACACACACACACAAACACGCACGCATACAAACACACACACACACACATACACACACACATGTAATATGCAAATGGAAAGTATTTAAATGACAAATAAAAATGTGTGTGGTCAAATCAAATCAAATCCCAATCAGGAAATGGTGACTGAAAACTAATAGTTATAATCGATAATAACAACACTTGCGACAAAATTAACAATGATAACACAATTAATAATAATAATAATAATAATAATAATAAGAATAAGAATAATAACTTTAAAGAATTGTTAATTATAAAAGAAAAACCTCATCAAAATTAAAAACATCCCTCGTACCAATTCAATTATTCAAGAAAAATTGTTTTTTATTATAAAACAAAAAGATGAATGAATATTAATTAGTCCTCTAGTCTGCAAATATGAATAATTAGTTATAAAATGGCCAAAAGAATTAATAAAATATTGATAGATCTCAAAACATGATAAGTTTTAAGAAGGCTATTTGGTTGTTTCTGAGCTCGTGACTGATTTCAATCAATCAATTAGTTTATAGAGGACTATTTCCGCGATGTTCAACAGCGCTCCTCAATGAATTTTTCAGACAGATGGGTCCTGAGATCCGCTCTGAAATTCGTAAGTGATGGAGAAGTGGTCAGAGAAGGAGGTAAAGAGTTCCAAAGAAAGAGCCAGAATAAGCAAATGCAGATTTAGCAAAAAAGTGATTTAAGAAGATTATTTAAATAATTTCGCGAGAAAAATAAATTTTTCGATGTCTGCATGTAACGTTAATTTCATTTTTTACATTTTTCTCTGTGCATGACTCATCGCAAAACCTGTTTTGGGCGTTCATCCTTTCGCACTAAAAAATACGTCAAGTTTCAAAAAATGTATAAATAACTGAAAAATTATATAAATAGAAAAAAATATCAACATGTTCTTTTTATTACAAGCTGCCAAACAAACATGGACTCAATAAAAAAATCTTTTTTTCATATTTGTCAAACTATTATATATTTATATATATATTATATATTATATATATTATAAATATATTTTCCTGGTGTGTGTAAAAAATTGTATGAATATCTCGTGAGAATGTTTGGCGTTAATATGTTTGTAGTTCGTTTTTTCGATTTTTCTCACTAAAGTTTTTTGGTGAACGTTTAGTTTATTAAAATTCAAAATAAACTTATTTTTTCGAATTCATGCTGCAAATAAGGCCAAATTTCGATTCCGAATGAATCATCGTCAGTGCTCCTTGTTGTATATATAGGGAAATATTGACTTTGTCAAGATTAACTTTGACGTTGTAAAAATTAACTTTGGTGTTGTAAAATTGAACTTTGATGCGAATTAGGTGTCAGGTTTCTTAATTGGCTGGTCATCTTCTTTGGTCTCCTTTTCTTCATCGATAGCAATATATATGAATATATATATATATATGTGTGTGTTTATGTGTAAGTGTTTGTGTGTGTGTGTGCGTGTGTGTGTGTTGTGTAAACATGTTCGTGTGTTGATATTTCGGTGTGTTTTTGCAGGCATGAGTGTGTATGAAGAGTGTGAGTTTTGGTGTAAACAATTATTAGTTTGCGTGGTTCGTTGTATCACGTGATTCAAGTAAGATTTCTGATAGGTTAATTGATTTTTTGATGTGAACTAACTGCGCAGTTGTGTAATTATAACGATGGTAATTATGATTTGCCCACTCATCTTTACTTGTCTTATCCTTTAAGTTCGCAGTTCGATCGATTCTGTTGTTTATTTATTCATTTATTTATTCATTCATTCATCTATTCATTCACACATTAATTTGTTTGTCCATCATTCGTTTGGTTATTGGTTAATTATTATAGATTGTTCATTTATTTATTTTTAATTAATCTATTCGGTTGGCTTCATTCATTTTCAAACTCAATCATCTTTTGTCAAACTATTCAAATCGAACGTATGCGGATGTTACCTACTTTGATTACAAATTTATTATTAATGATTTAAACATAATTAATGAATGAACAAATAAATTTAATTTATTAATTCAATCATTCATCTATTCATTTATCTATTCATTCACCCATTCGTTCAATCAATCATCAACTTCATTCCTTATCAAAATAATTCATTCGTTTATTCATTTCATTTTTTATACCACTCAAAGCTGATTAATGAAGAGGCACACTTTTAAACGAACAAATAAATGTAGTTTATTCTATCAATCACTCATTCATTCCTCCATCCATTTATTTAATAAATCATTCATCCATTCAATCAATCAATCAATCAATCAATCAATCAATCAATCAATCAATCATCATTTTCATTCCCTCTTAACATTAATATTCATTTAATAATTTCATTTGTCATGCCATTGAAAACTTATTAAAACTTTAAAATCTGGGCCATGTTCGCACAGTTTTGATTGCGACACAATAACAACAATAATAATAATAACCTAATAATAGTAATAATAACATTAATAATAATAACAATAATACGTTTTTGAGTGTTACAGGAATATAAAATTGCTATGTTTATAATTTAGGATTTAAAATCCGTGGCAACATTACGAATAGCCGTGTTGAGTTGAGTTGTGTGTGGTAGCTGCCTACTGCAAGTTATACCCGAATATCCCAGCTACATTCATTACTTTTATTATTATTATTATTATGTGTTGTTAATGTTGTTTTTAATATTATTATTATGTTGTTGTTATTATTGTTGTTTTTGTTTCTTTATTGTTGTTATTCACGACCGGATTGATTGTCCTAAGTGGTGATTTACTGCTTACGTGATGACAAAAGTTGAATTACTGCTATTGATGCCCTTGCCAGTGTTATGAACATTTGTTATTGTTGATGTTATTGATGTCCGTTCAGATAAGACGGTATTATTGTTATTAAGGTTATTTTAATTTTTCTAGATAGTATTTTGTTACTTTTTTGTGTTATTAGTCGTTGTTTGTTATTTGTTTGTGTTATTAGATCCATCTTTAACTCATTTTTGGTACTTTAAGATTTTCTGGCTTACGTTGGTTATTTGTTATTCATATTCATTATTCTATAAGGTGACTTATAATCAAATAAATAATATGCATACGCACACAGAAGCGTGCACACACATTCACATACACACACACTCACACACACACTCACTCACACACACACTCACTC